AGATAAGTTTGATTAAGACTTTGCTTAATCAACTTGAATTAGTTACGCTTAAGATGGGTCTGTGGTAGATGAATATAATGTAAAGTAATGTATTTTAATGTAATGTAATGAAATGTAATGTAATGTAACGTTTCCTAGGTAACAATAATGCCGAGTAAACACGACGTTCCCTAGGTACACTTGTTACAATTTTTCGTTTCCCTTTTTCGTTACACTTTTTTGCCGAATGACCCTTCCTTATAGACGTATTTACGTTAAAAATATAACAGGACTCTCTGGTTATTTTGTTATTTAATGATACTGTTTCGACTGCAGAGATTATATCACGTCGACTTAAAAGAAAACATGGTCATAGGAGTCATTATTGGCCAATGCAAAATAATCTCTCGGAATTCGCCTGGAGAGACTGAAAAGATGCCAAAACATGTTAAATCCGGTAAAATTGTCGGGATTAGAACCGGATACTTCCAAGTTTTTCAAAATCTAGAGCTTCACCGTTTCACCTCTTCGAAAGATGTTAATGGACTAGAAAGCAAGGCCTGTAACGAGAGGACAAATCTTTGGCTTCCAGACACAGCTCCACTCAGCTGTGGCTTCCCTGACGTAATATCATCGACGAAGATGAACAATCAAGGTAGAAACCAAACAGTAGCTTTCATCGCAAGAAAGAGGGTTGTAACATTTTGGTGAAATCATGACGTCTTTGATTTTCCTGGTGGAAGAGCAAGGGATTTAATAAACCCTTCATACCAATAGTCTGCTTTCCAACAGACGTGCCTCACTGTAATTCACCCTCGCGATGTTCTTTAACATTTATTTGAATTCACTAATTAACTCCAAGACACAGGATTTCCCCTGAGTACTTGATACACGTAGTTTACCTGTCCAGGAAACTCCCTGTTATGGAAGCCGAAAGTTCGCCATCGTTCTCACAAAATTTCGACAGTAGACAGTAACAGATGGGCGGGGCACGTGACACGCACGGTGTCTATGAGAAATGGGTACAAAATTTGGTAGAACAACCTTAAGGAAAGAGTCCACTCGGAAGATCTAGGCATAGATGGAATGACATTAAAATGGATCTTAGTGACAAAAAGCAAAGGATTTCTTAACTAGCTCAGCTTCTCATGAAGGGCCGTGCTCCAAGGACGTAGTTATGTATTGTTCAGACTCGTCATTACACCAGGGGTTCTCAACCTGGGGCCACATTCACCCTTTGTTATCGATTTAGGCGTTCTTCACGCCTTAGCATAAGCGAAAAACGTCTTATTGGCCTGCCCTGTACGTCTTTCGGTTTGTCACGTCTCTCCTAGGAGATAGGCAATCTGCATAACTGACGTTAATGTTGAGCAAAAATGGGGATATATTGTTATATATCACTGTTATTCATATTTCCATTGAGATTTCAATAGTATTCCCTGGGATTGCCAACGGCTCGTTGGACATCCCTTTGCCTTACCACCTCATGTTACATCGTTCAGGTCTCGGGAGGAACGGGACTTTCCGCGAGGGTTTCGCCACCCACGAAGCTAGGCCACTTCCGGGCACTGCAGCTCCTGAGGACACCTTCAGTTATTGCCCCCAATGCTTACTCCAAAACAAGATTGTTTAGCTCCTGGGGGTTTGTTATCCAAGCCCTTCGTCAAGATGCTTACTTTGTTACGGCCCGGCCGCCAGCAATTTTTGCTCCAAGGGCCACCTTTCTCTTGCCCACCAGACCTGGGCACCCCTGTACTTCCACAATCGTAGTTACAACATTAATGCAAGAATGACCCAATAAGCTAAGGTCATCATTGAAACAACACCACCACCTTGGGTTAGCTCATCTTCACTCCCAGGTCTTCTCAATATACAGACCTTCAGGTAGATACCGCACGTGAGAACCTCTCTCTCACACACGCCGCTTTTGATAAAGCAGTGAGCCACAATGCGAAAACATTAAAAATTATTTTCCACGTTTCTAAATCAGAACTCTCCGAATTTTCAATTTTTGTATAAACCGTGTCTTTGAGATGTGAGCATACCTCTCGAAATCTGGAGTATCGCGCAGCAGTCTCAGAATGGATCCAAACTGCTCCATTTCATAATTCTATTGTCGTTCATGTGCTGTACTTACCGACGTTTAAGTAACATCGCTGTCTGCAGTATAACTCCAAAGTTAGCTAGCCACAACGTCTGGCATAAGTCACTAAATCACAGTTGACTACAACGCTGCAGCAAATTATACTGAACATGTATATATAACTTTCGATGTGAACACGTAACTCTTATTCGTATGAAAGTCGCTGTAATCAAACACTTCATTAATATCACACCGAACCATTGTGTTATTTAAGACAATATCGAAACGTTACATAAATATTTACCATTAAAAGACACTCTGAACAATGGTTTGCCCCTTGCGAAATGCACGCATCTTGAGCACTACTTAACAACTGTCTATACTACCCTCCCCCCTCAACTTTCCAATGAATCAAGCGATGTTCGTTGGTCTGCTGACTGACACGCTGCTACGGAACCTGTTGCACGCAAGGAAACAGGTTAGACCTACTAGTAGTGCTTCTAGGCCAGTCAAATTGTTCCAAATAAAAGCATAAATCAACTGAAACGAACAATGATACTCTGTTCCCCACACTTATAATAATAATAAACTGCGCATTCTTCAGTCATAGCTAATACTGCGAATTTTACTGAGAAAATGACAGCAGTTTTACTCATTTCATCTACTCGACCTTGTAATTGAATGAACTGCGCAGTAGTAAAAATAACCCCGGTACCTCCGCAGAGATTAAATTAGTCCTTTGAAGGTTTTAAAGCACCAGGAATGAAATCGCATAAGATCAAAGTCGCATATGCAAAAGTTTGCATTTCACAAACAGCTTTTACCGATTCATCGATCTCATTGAGGCAAATTCGCGTTAACGACACATACGTAATTGCAGAGATGACTGTATTTATAATTTTTATTCAAAATCAGTGATGTAAGAATTACGATTTAGTATAAGAATCAGTACGAGATACATTGTAACACGTTATAAATAATATTAAAAAAAATCACAATTGGCGCAAATCGAGGGCTACCTGTATTATTATACCCTCCAACAGTTGCACCTCCTTGCCAAGGTACTTTGATAACCATTATAGTAGTAACAACAATTGGAGCTTTTGTGTTATATAGTAAGCATTTATTTTATATTCCCCCAGTTGCAGTGCCCTGATAGCGTGTGCTACACGGAGCATTTGCCAATTATCAGCAGGGATCAAACTGAGACATGTCTCGTTTGTAACTAAGTTTAGCTGTGCGGTCAGAAACCTTCAGCAATGTTATTTTGCTTCACCAACTTACAGTTCACTGAGAACTGAGACTTGAAACTAGTGGATTAAATACGTGTATTAACTGACAGATTGGTATTTTATGAGCAATTGGTATTTATTCAAGAAATTTTCTATTGATCTTCCCAATTTTGAAACATTTTCATGAAACGTTGTCACAAGCAACTTTTCACAATGAGGACGTACAACTCCCAAGCTGAACACCACAGTCAGCTGTCCACAATTGTTTATTCAACACATTCACAGTTACCCTCGTATCTCAAGGCCACCTCATCCAAATACAACCTGAAAACTGGCACACCTTTCTGAACTGTCAACAAAATCAAATTTTTGGTAACCATGTTATCTCAAAAGATCTCTAAGTGACACTATGTAATATGAAGAAAAGGGGAAATGAAGGGATTAATATAATTAATTAATATACATTCAGCAATCTGTACAAATCACATCACATACAAACTTATTCAAATATACAATGCACAATAAATTTGAGCATGAAAAAGAGAGAACTATTTGTACTTACATACTTGCCATAATTTACGTACGTAAACATACTTCATCCATACTTTACACTGTAGTCAGTTTTTAACACAGTTTATCTAATTGTAAACATGAAATAACATAAATGAAACTATATTACAATTTAGATTAAATTATTTCATTATCAACAAAATAAATACAATTACTTTAAAATGAATAAATAACAGTAAAATATATGATATAATACAGCATGATACAACAGGTTCTCACAGCAACAAGAATGAAGATGGCAGTCTTTCAGGATTTTGCACCGTGCAATGTGGTAGACGTTGGACCAATATTTCAACGGACATTATTGCCTCTGCCATCTCAGAAGACAGCCATCTTCAAGGCAATGTCAAAATACAAATTTTGCCGACTGGATGTTACAACCTAATATCATGGCTGTCCAACTCCTTGTCTTTGTCTTTCACATAAATTTAAAATATTTATTTCTACGCAGTATTGAAGTATCTACGCCTGCACAAAATAATGAAATCAACCTAAGATAAACAGCAATTGGGCAACAAATTTGTATCAAAAAAATTATTTGCACGTGGTCCATACACAAAATTAGAACAGAAAGAACAGTATGGTGCACCTTTCAGCAATCTACTGAAAAAAACACAACAGTTAAATATTTTTCAAGGCAAGAATGATTGTATTCAACGTTAATTTCTAAGTTCTGATGATTAATTTTGCAAAGAAAACTGATGGGTCTAGGGAAC